TTTATATAAATTGGGCAAATTGGCCCTTTCATCCCGTCTTCCCTTGTCTTATCCATGTGCAGAAGATCACTGCTGTAGCTAGAGATAGACTAATTCACTGGGTTAAATTATCACCAGTGCTTCCAAATATATTGATGCTGCACTAAAATAGGACTTTTCTTCACTGTTATGCCAATCACCTCAAAGGCAATATTGACAAGCTGAACTTGCCAAGGAATGTGATGTGGTAGATGTCTTTCTTGGCAAATAAATGTTTAATTCTTAGCCAAGCATCATTACTATTTATTCAGAAATACAGTAAAATGGGACACATTACTCAGAACATATTGAAATTGTAACTTAATAATAAAATAGAAAACCTTTCACACCAACAACTGATTCTTCATCTCCTTAATTTAAAAAAAATGGCAATCAGTTATGTGTAATTTTACCCAGAATTTCCTCCAGATCTTTTTTAGTAGATAAAGAATAATCTGAAAGCACTAGCTGCATCAAATACAATCCTATAAATAATCCCCATTTTCTTCTACACAGTCCCATTAAAAAAATAGGGTTTGAATCTTTCTCTAGTTACTATTTCTAAGTTTAGGGTTAACTATTCCATATAATGAAGCAAGTAGGAACAAATCCCATTTGCTCCCATTTTTATAATAAATAGTATTTGTTTGCCCACAAGGAACCCTGATAATTATTTCAGGTAAGGTTTAAGAAGAGATGTATTGTTACACCTGTAACCTGATATATGTTGTCCTGTGACGGGGGTTGAAAGGTGCCCTTATTTCTTTTTGAGTCTTCAAGATACTTGTGGCTGTTCTCCAGATTCCTAGCCACAAAGGAGCACCTGCAGTATCTTAAACACCGTTCCCCAAACCATAGATCCTATTGCATGGTCTCTATGGCTCCCATCAGTTCATTACTGAGATAAAGGATTGTAGATCATCCCTTGCCCTTTACAGACATTAGCTAAGAAATAGAACAAACTAATCAAAGGACAACCATGAATCTTTTCCCTTCTCAGTTAAGTTACTAGGTGGTGAAAACTCTAGCTGAATACTGCTTTTTTATGACTATATTAGATTGTAATCTGTTTCAGCAAGATATATTTTCTTAGAGCTTATGCTTTAGAAATTCAATAAATATTACATAAAAGCATTACAACAAATCCTTTTCATCTGACTTACGTTTAAAGGATTATTCTGAGTCCATCAGAAAGCATCTACTTCTTGCAGTGGAAGCTATATATTTGCTCTGGAGACAGCAATCAGCCAGGATTTCTCTAATCTATTAGATTTTTCTAATTATTTGAGAACAACAAGCCATCAGTCATAAACTGAATAACATATTATATGTCTTATAAAGTTTTCTGCAGTCTTGCATCTACTAGTATTTTCTTAGGGAACAGCCTGCTGTCTATGTAAATATGCTCTTCACTACTCCTTCAACTAATATGGAATGGAAGGAAGGAATGTGAAGACAGGAGGAGCCTGGTGGCTCCCGTGCTTAGGATGCTGGGTTCGAGATTAGTAAGGCCATGTTCAAAACCTGAGTGTTGCTGTGTGGCAAATGTGTATGGGATAAAGAGGTTAGCCCCTTTCAGGTTGCTTGAGTAACCAGCCACAGGGATGGAGGAGCTCAATACCTAAGATCTGTGAGTAGGGTTATTTCTGAGCAGAAGAGTGTTGGTGTTTTGGAAGAGCACTAAACCTGATTTCAAAAATAGTTCAGTTCACAAGTCAAGGGATGGAGGAGAGATACAAGGTGAACTTAGAAGGAGTTTCCTTGATGCCTTGGGAAAAGCTGAAAAGGTCCATGGATAAGCAAAATGGTATAGGCATAAGCAAGACAAAGTGCCTCCATAAAGTTATTAAAATATACTCCTGGCACACAAAAATAGATAGATAGATAGATAGATAGACAGACAGACAGACAGACAGACAGACAGACAGACAGACAGACAGACAGACAGACAGACAGACAGACAGACAGACAGACAGATGATAAATTCACTCACTCTCACTGATCAGCAGGGCAGTGTTAATCAACACAACATTTCTATCTTCACAAAGCAGAAAAGCTAGAGTTGTGTTTATCCCCTATATGGATGTGAGTCTTCTAAGGTCTTATCAAACAACTAGAGAAATTTCACATGCAGACCCTCCACTCCATCCTTGGTATTCATGGGCAATACTGTGTCTTTGATCACATGGAGCCCACCAGCATTGAATCCCTGATTACCCAGATGCAATAAGTGGGACATGTCATTACAACGGAGACCATTGTATGGCTCACCAGTTGCTTTATGGTGAACTAGAGACTAGAAAGAGAACTTAGATTGTCCACCCAAGTGCTACAAAGTCACTAGGAAGGAAACCATATACCACTGTAACATCCAGCCAAGGGAACTAAATGTGCAGCTGTAGAGAGGACTCACTGGCGATCCCTTTACTTTGAAGCCTATATCAGCTTTGAAGACAACAAAGCCGGTTAAAAACTGGTGGAAAATTATGAGTGCCATCACAAATTAACATCCAAAGTTATTGAAACAATGGACTTCCAGTGCCACCATTGTGCCAGACTCTTTGCTTCCAGACTGAGACCACAGAACCAGCTCAGTATTCACAGATGAACTGCAGAACAGTGTGTCTTCTTCAAACCTGTAAGACAACCAGACTACATATTACCATAACAGAATCTTACTACTACTTCCCCTCTCTCTGACTCGATCCTAAAGAGAATGAGGAAGGGTCCAGCCTGAGATGCTTTATAAATTATATTTATGCTTTGGGACAGGGCTTTCCTTATCTGATCATTGCCTTGATTGTTGCTTTTCTTTTCTTTCTCAAAATTATTTTCACAGACCATTACAAACTCTAATCAAGTAACTTTTAGAATGCTACAGGCTGGGACTTGGAGAAGCCTCTAGTTCATGTCAACCTGAAACACTCTTTTCTAACCTGGTGCTATCTGCATTTTATTGGGGTCATGACGCTCCAAGTCCTGAGGCAGCATGACAGTGTGAACAGCCCGTTGGAGGGAAGGCTAATTTAAAAGTAATAGAGTTACTGTGCAGTGAAGGTGCCAAGGTGGGTCTGGGGAGAATAGTAATCAAACAGCTATTTCAATACCTATAAATCCAGCTTTAAAGGATCAGCTTTAAAGATTTTTCTGCTTGGAAAAAGCAAGTGTGCCATACATCAAGAATAAAAAGACCCTGGTAAGGCAAATGCTAAGAAGATAAACAGAGTGGATCTAGTATCCAATTCTAATTCCAGGTTATTTATTTATTGTACAGTCTCACTGAAACAGATAGGTGGTTACTTGCAAATGATTTATAATACTGGAAGGAAACATTTCTTTGCATGGTTAAATGAATTTTGGATGCTCTTGCACAAATTGCACATGGCATAAGTGTGCTCTATGATCCCAAAAGAATATCTCAGGCTTCTTGCCTGAGATGAACCTCTTGCGGCAGGCAGTTGAATAAATAAGAGAAGGAACACCTGCTCTTGGCCCATGTTTGCTCTGAAAAGAAGGTGTCATTTTGCCTACCTACCACCCTTCAATGCACATTGGGAAGGTTCATTGTGCTATGAGCACAGTTTGGTTTCTGCTTTTCGTTTTTTCTCCAGTGTTGGATGGTAGATAGCTTCCACCAGTGCTTGATTAATCTTCACGAGATCAAGACCCAGGAAAGACACTTTCTCTCAAGGTGATGATCACAGCAGCTCAGGCTTTACCACGTTCTCCCCATGAAATCACATGTTCTCCAAGGATATTATTGCCCCTCACATCTAGAGCAATTGAATAGTTTTGAAGGTAAAGTGCATGTTGAAAAATGCAAATGGCATTCATTGAGAATGGGGGGAAAGGTTGATAACTTCTGGGGTGATAGCAGGCAGGGAGAGATTGTCTTCTTTAACACTTTCCTCAACTGAAAGGGAGAAAGAAGCTGATAATGCAACAGGAGGTAATGCCACATTGCATATTACTTCAACGTAGATACCAGCATTGGGGGGGGGGGCTATATTCCTGCAGCCATAGCAGGTGAGGAATGAAATATTCCTTTCCAAAGAGCTGCAGTCCTATTAATTATCAGCCCCTGCCCTAAGGAGCAACTACTGCATTTTTTAAGCGCACTTTAAATGCAAAGGCAATATCTGGTTTAGCTTTTGTTTTAAATGGGTAAAGTGGTTGCCCATTCTCTGCCCATTTCTTCTTTTGCCTACAGCTTTTTATTCTTCGATCCTTACATAATGCCAGAAGAGTTAAGATCTGTCCAACTAAAAACACCCATCTTACCCAGCCTGGTGTTCTTCAGGCTGTAATTCCATCACCCCAGAATGTGCTTTTTCAATTCTGCACTGTCCACCACTAGATATAAAAATAAAACACAACAATGCCTGAGTTAGAACGAAGTGCCTCAGTCAATGCCAGATACATGGTTTGCCCCTCTAAACATGACAGTGAAATTCACTGCTTGTGCTACCTCATCTACTATCAGTCTGTAAGAGAAATCTGATCAGGGTAGGATGGGAAGAGAATCAGAATTTTTATTAAATATTTTTTTTAAAAAAAATCTCCAACTCCCCCAAACTTACGTCACCAATTATCCATTATCAATTCTGATTATTTTTTAAAAAAAAAACGTGACTCCAACTCAAGAGTTGATTTGTAAGCTTCTGAGTTATAAATTAAAAATGAAAACTCTTAACAATTGTGCCTGTCTGAATCTAAGACTTTGAAAATGATTGTAGTGTTATAACAGTGTTATAGGCTCACATCTCATCTTTGTGTTCTTGGATCATCATACTATCACATCAGCAAACAAATTGAAAGGGGCTGAGAAGATGTTAAATAGAGAACCAAGATAGGAGGATGTGATCAGTTCTCACAGAGGCAGGCAGGAAGGAAGACACAAACTTGCAACCTTGTTGAGAGGCTGTGACATGTAAGAGAGTGTAAGAAGAAGGAAAAATAAGCTTTTTTTCCCCTCAAGCACCATGAAAATATGTATGCAAATCTTGTGCTTCTTTCTTTTGCTAACCTTGTACAAATGTGCAGTGATCACTGGGGTAAGTTTTCTCTCTCTCTCTTCATTTTTGCTTATGGACTATTGTAATTGTTGAAGAAGTTGTGTGACCCCACTGGCTGTAAATTTAGGGTCCACTTGTTTTGAAGATGGAGTGTGAATTTTGGCGATGTGGGACAGAATGTTTTCTAATATTCTTAATTTAAATGGTATGGCTAATACATGTTTTAACTCTAACACTAAAATCTCTAACACTGAGATTTTAAGTTATCGTTGAAAATATGCAAAACATAGCATAGTAAAATAAAAATAAGGAGAACTGATTATTAACTAATTGTAACTATTGCATTTTCACAAGTGGAGGGAGGAAAAACTGTTTCACTGATCCCAAAGGCTTTTTAAAATATCCATAGGCTTGGAACAGAGTCTGAAATGGTAATATAGTATACACACCAACCTAAAAATGGGACTTACTCCTGAGAAAAGATGCATAGAATTGGACTGTATGTTTATATAAAGATTTAAATAAAGATTTAAAAGTTTAAAAATGGTATTTTTATTTTCAAATTTTTCTCTGAGTGAATATTGATGATTTAATATATATAATTATGTGCTTAATGTTCATTATAGCATTCATGAATATAGCAAGGCAGGTTTGAATTTCTTTAATGGTTTTAATGTATTTTTCAAAACAACATATTTTGAACATTAGCTATATAAAATCCTAAATTGTGGATTTAGGTTTCTTAATCCCATCTGAAAATTGTTTACACAAAGCTGTCTATTCACAAGCTCCAAATTGATACAGATACTATATTTTATATATTACCCATGTTTATTCCCACATCAGTCATTGACAAGAGAAGTTTTTAAAGATTTCAGCAACTGGTTCTATAATTTGTAAAAAGAAAAAACAATTTTGTAGATTTTCTAATGACAAAAGCTTTAGATAATTCCTTAAATTCTAGATCATCCTATTCAAGTAAAAGATTGCTTGTGTGGCTATTACGGTATTTGCATATATCAGCTAACTGATATAGTATTATCTGTATCAAGTAAATTCAAATCTCTCATTGACTAAGGTTGAGAGCAGTATTCTCCTGGAAGTGAAGATTACTTATAGAGATACTTGTTAAAGACACACTTGTTCAAAAAATCCTGTTTGGCCAAAAACCAAGAAGAATCAATTTTTGGTCCAGCCATGAAACAAAGTAGATTAACTTTCTTGGATGACAGATTGCAGATTCTGTTAAAGGACAGCAACACACTGTCAGTCAACCTCACTGAGGCTTCTTTCCAATATGGATAAGAGCATTTTGTAACCTTATGCACACCACCTAATCTGGCACATTAGATTGAATACACATTTATGAGAGGTTACAGTTTTCCCTATTTCTTGTCAAGGAAGTTTACAATGGCTCAGTCAGAATTAGTGGATGTAGTTTAGAACCTCTTGATTCTAAAAATCCACATGAAGGAACTCACCCCTCATCGTTGGAAATTGAAGGTTAAACCCACACAGACACACATGTGGACATATAGACACACAGACAGGCAGACAGACACCCCTTTGATATTCAGTTTTTGTATGGGTTGAAAAATTCCTCTTCCAACTAATAATAATGATAATGATGATGATGATGATGATGATGATGATGATGATAATAATAATAATAATAATAATAATAATAATAATAATAATAATAATAATAATAATAATAATAATAATAATAATAATAATAATAATAATAAAGTTGGAAGGGACCTTGGAGGTCATCTAGTCCAACCCCCTGCTCAGGCAGGAAATCCTATACCATTTCGGACAAATGGCTGTCCAATCTCTTCTTAAAAACCTCCAGTGTTGGAGTATTCACCGCTTCTGGAGGCAGGTTGTTCCACTGGTTAATTGTTCTAACTGTCAGGAAGTTTCTCCTTAGTTCTAGGTTGCTTCTGTCCTTGCTTAGTTTCCACCCGTTGCTTCTTGTCCTGCCTTCAGGCGCCTTGGAAAATAGCTTGACTCCCTCTTCTTTGTGGCAGCCCCTGAGATATTGGAACACTGCTATCATGTCCCCCCTTGTCCTTCTCTTCATTAAACTAGACATACCCAATTCCAGCAGCCGTTCCTTATATGCTTTAGCCTCCAGTCCTCTAATCATCTTTGTTGCTCCTATTATAAATGCTGGAAATCTGTCCCCTTTTACACTGAAATTGGTAATACAGGTAATACATTTACAACAGTTCATTTACTGAAAAAAGTGACTTATGACTGTTTTTTTACACTTACAACAGCTGCATCATCCCCATAGTCACTTGATCAAAATTTGGATACTTGGCAACGGACTCTTATTTATGATGGTTTCAGTGTCCCAGGATCATGTGATCAACTTTTGTGACCTCCTGACAAGCAAAGTCAATGGGGAAGCCAGATTCACTTAACAACTGTGTTACTAACTTAGCAGCTGCAGTGATTCACTTAACTGTGACAAGAAAGGTTGTAAAATGGGGCAAAATTCACAACATCTGGGGCTCAATTGTGGTTGTAAATCAAGGACTACTTGTACAGAGAAAATGTGCTGTATTTTATTTTAACTAGATGGGATTCTTCCTTTATACAAATACAAGAATTTAAATAAGAAGAAAAAATTAACCGTTCTCCTCCCCCCTATAGAAATCTTATTATTGTAACAAAAATACACACATTCTATTTAGTTGCAATTTATTTATTTGTCAAATTTATAACCCACCTCATTCAAGCAACTCTAGGAAGTGTATAATAATAGATAAAAAGCAAGAATGTAAAAATAGCAAATATAAATATAAAGAATCATAAGAATAAATATACTAAAAAACTGGAAATTTCATAGTCGAAGGAAATAAAAATAGCCCCTTCAACAATGGAGCCATCTAGATACAGTAGGTCTTCAGTTCTATGGGATCCACAGATCTGGTCACATAAGTAGGTCTTAAGTGCCTTATGAAATATCAAAAGAGATCAATCAGGCCAATCTAATTCTGGGAGAAAGAATATTCCACCTACAGCATAGAAGGCACATCTCCTGGGACTCACCAAATATAAATTCTTAGCCAAAGGTACCTACAGCATGCCTTCTCTGCAAGATCTGATGGGGTAGGCTGATGTAAGTGGAGAAGGGCAGTCCCTCAAATAGCTTGGTCCCAAGCCATGAAGGGCTTTAAATATTAAAAACAGCACCTTGAATTGGATGTAGAAGCAGACTGGCAACTAATGCAGCCCATGAAGCAGAGGTCTAATATGCATTGTCCTAGGAGTGCACATAATTGCATCTGCTGCTGCATTTTGTACCAGCTGAAGCTTCCAGTTGTTCTTCAAGGGCAATTTCATGTAGAACACATTGTAGTAGACCAATCTGGAGGTGACTAGTGCATACGTGACTGTTAGCAGGACCTGCTGATCCAGGAACTGTGGAAACGGCCTTCTAGCAAAACTGCCACCTACTCCTCGAGAAGGAACTCAAATTGTATGTTGGGTCTGTCTAGGGTAGTGCAACCCCATCCAGCACCAAAAATTGCGTAGTTGTCTAATCAGTTGGCCCCCCAAACCAAAGCCATTCCAGGGTTTGGCTGAAACCTGCTGTTTCTCATCCAGATCCTCACAGGCTCCAGGCTGTCTCATTAGTTAAGACGTTCATCGTATCACTTAATTTGCTAGGGGTAGAGATATACAATTGGGCATCATCAGCTTTTCTCCTAATAAAATCTACTCAAATCCAATGTCCATCAAATTTATTGGGCTTACAACAGTAAAGGCATCTTCAGGGACGATGGGTCATGTGATCAGAGCAATCATTTTGACTTCTTATCACCTCCCCTGCCACCAACCCCAATGCCTTCATACAATCACAGAATGCAAACTAGTTGTTCTGGGAGGACACTACTTGGGGAAACCTCTCTGAAAATGTGTTTAAAATTGCAATTTATTTTCCTATTTATTCCTATTAATATTACTGATAACTTTATTAAAGAACCCTGCCTTTAATTTCATAACTAAAGATACTTTTCAAATAAGCAATTGATTGGATCCATTGAATAGGACTACAATGTCAACTGTGTCCTTATCGGCCAGTTCTATCTGTGTGTTACTTTGGAAATAATTATATACAGTATATAAAGATGTGCCGTATATGTCAGTCCTCAATCTCAGGTCGTTTACCAGAGGCCTGGGAATTTGAGGGTTATGCACATTACCTTAATTGTTCCCAGGGCTTTTTTTTGTCATAGAACGCCCAGAACGGAGTTCCGGCACCTTTTTTGAATGGAACCTTGTAGGGTAGGCAAGGCGGGTTGTATGACGTGTGTGAGTTCCGGAACTTTTTTTTTTTTTTTTTACAAAAAAAAAGCACTGATTGTTCCTAGCATTGCCTTCTTCCTACCACTGAACTCTGTATATGAGAGATATACAATATGTTGAAAATGAAACAGAACAATCTATTTCATGGCAAAATCTCAGGAGCTGAAATTGTTTAAAATTAGCCTATTCTTCTTGTGTTGTTGTTTCTAATGTATTATGCAGATATTTCATACAGATTTGAAATAGAAGCAGAATTCAGAGTAAATCAAAATAGGAAAATAAAAACAAAAAAACAAAAGTGTCTGAACAATCCTCTCAGCGTACCTAAAGGGATCTGAGTTATAATCAAGCCAAATAAAGGGTTGACTCTCTCAAAAGTATTGTAATAACTGGATGCTCATATTCTTGATGAGTTACTTCCCTTTCCTTAAATAGTTCTGATGACCTCAGCATGACAATTCAGAGCCTGGCAGAATTTGATTTGTGTTTGTGTAGTGTTTCTTTGAATAAAACTGATATTTATTTCCTCATCTTTACTTAATTTAAGCTATTTGAATTTTAACAGATGCAGGAAATTGCATTATTACGTATTTGTCCTGACATTTATCTATTTAAATTGTCACAGCTGTGGCGTGTAAGTGACTCAGATAATATTTTAGATGACAGTGGAAGTAGATATTTTTAAAAGAGCAGCTCACTTTGGCGCTACAACCATC